ACTAGGCACATGCAAAGAATGAACGGAATCTGTCCAAAGGACTAATAATATGAATGGAAATATTCCATTGTGGTTGACAGGGTATTATTTGAGTGTTCTAGCTATTACCCAAATTGACCTTTTCTGAGTTTAGTTCCCTCAAACGTTCAAGTCTGCCATGAGAGGGTGTATTGAACTGTTCAGTTTTTGAACGATGGGATCAATATAACGCCTATACTGATGTATGTAAATTAACTGATTCACAACTCTATCGCTTAAACTCGCCCATTTGTCAAATTTTGCACTGAACTATCTGAGTTAAATGTCTGTGTTTTGAATATTTTATTGGTGGAAATGTGGCAAAGTAAAACCTTGATTATAAACATTCAGTGTTGAATGATACGAATCATTTCTCAATATCAAGTCCAATACATTCTGATAGACTGTCTTACACCCACTTACAGTAAAAAATCAATATACTTTTCCTATACAAAGAGCTAGGAAATTGTCAATTGACTGATTGGTAGATGAACCAACCAGTATTCTCATTAAAAGCAGATCTTCTGAAAGCTCCTATAAAACTGTCTTTGAAAATTTTACTGAAGAAAACGTAGACCAGACATGGTGAAAGTAATTTTTTACTAGATTTGTATATATACTACACATAAAAACGTCATGTAGTCTACTCATTGATTACAATCTTGTATGTGTAGCCTATATGATAAATGAACAGTAGTGTTGCTATGGTAACAATGAACAGAAGAACACATGGAGTAATCTTACAAATAATTAACCTATTAGCAATGTTGTGTGTTGGTAAGAATATCCACCTCTACTTGGGGCACAGACGGGAAACTACAGATGAACCTAACCAGACTTACCAATATAAATTTCCTCTTCTGGCATCTTGACAGATGTACAAAGATATGTATCAGTCTGCAATGCAATGTTGAAACATTAGTTTTAGTCTTCCCTCCAAAAAGAATAATTGTCAAAAAAAAACTGAGAGTTTTATTAAAAGACTGCAAAATATGATCAAAATATTTAATTTTTGTGAAAGATATACTGGTAAAATAATATAAATTATAATGAGATCTAAAAATAAAACATCTTGTTCAGTAACATTGCTTGAGTAACTGGATAGGACATGATATTAGTGGAATGCCATATTTGCACTCAATAATAAAAGGCTGGTCTCCAAGGCAACAATAGTAGCTATTGTTCTGCTTTTCAAAACAACCATTAGGCAAAGCTACTGCTGAAAGCAATATTTTTTTCATTTAATTGTATTAATAAATGCATACAATTTTAAAAATCTGTCTATAAACATTTAATTTGCAAATGTGCATATATGGCTTCCCAGCATACCTTCAAGGTCAAAGTATTTTCTATACCTCTTAAATATGTAATTCATTTGAATTGTTCAAGTAATGAACATGCACAAGACATTTAAAATAAAGTTCACCCACAAGAAAGTTAAGTTAGATACTGACTGTCAGATGCCCAACTAACTTCATCATCAGAAGTGTTCACATCAAATTTACAGCTATGCACAGCTGAGAGGTCAAATATTTTACGAGTTTATACCCCAATCAAAACTAATATATATCATGAAATGAACAAATCTGATAGAGGTCCATCCAAGTTACAAAGCCAAGTATCAAAGCAATCCAGCTAGTACCCGGTAGTTTTCAAACAGAATTTTACCAAAAATAACAAAACCATTTGCTACACAAAATTAAGAAATTAACAACCACCTATATGAAAATACTAGAGATTTTACCAATGATGATAAAATTTGCTTTGTTATTTGTGAATCACTACTTTTACTGAAAAATAAACTACCAGTATGCACCAAATCCATATACGCTGGTGGAATGGAATGTAATGGAGTAGAGTGGAGTGGCGTATACATGTAGTCTATTTTCTTGTGATTACAAAAAACATTGAGAATTTTCTAAATGTTTGTTAGCATTCAGATATTTTTTTTTGAAAAACGTAAATTTATTATTATTATCTTTAACCATTATAATTTATGTATTTTAACTGCTGATGTAGTAAATATACATTAAAATACATACATTAAAATTAAATGTTTTTTTTTTAATATTTTGTATATATAGTTGAATGACCTTACCTGTTTTGGAGAGACTTCAGGCATAAGGAAGTCAATACTGAAAATGTCAGTTTCTCTGGAGATGTCAACTCTGTGTTGTCTATCATAGTATGGTTCACATAGCATACACGTCAAACACAACACCAAAACAGTAATGATATGCACAACAGCCATTGCAAATCTTCAACCAATGTCTTCTTGGTTTTTTTAGGATTTCAGAGTCGTTCTTTCATCTTTGTTTTATTTTTCAGTTGCCTTCTTTTTTGCCAATAAAATCTTAATTTTGTAACAACCTTCTTATTTGGTAATCAATTCCTAATTTGGTATTATTCTCCTTATTTGGTAATCAATTCCTAATTTGGTATTATTCTCCTTATTTGGTAATCAATTCCTAATTTGGTATTATTCTCCTTATTTGGTAATCAATTCCTAATTTGGTATTATTCTCCTTATTTGGTAACCAATTCCTAATTTGGTATTATTCTCCTTATTTGGCAATCAACTCCTAATTTGGTATTCTCCTTATTTGGTAATCAATTCCTAATTTGGTAATGTACATGTATAAGGGATTCCCTGTAAAAAAATAAATGAGAGAAATGAGAAATCTTTGTGCATTATATTGTGTAAGGGTTGTAATAATTTTAACATAATTTTGTTGGAACCTATCATATTCAATATTGTATATCATGTTGAATAACAGTTAGTAATATTAAGGTAATAAATGTTAGCTATAAATTTGGAAGCAAATTGTTTGTAATTTTAACTATAGTCGTGTTCAGGCTACACGGAGTACGGGCTAAACTTTAAGATAATCTCATGTTTGCATATCGGCTAGATCGCATTCACAGTCACAAGAGGAAACAATGGTTAGCACAGGGTAACAAATGCCCAAACTTGTTAAGAATATACAAACCAGTCTTTTCAACTATGATTACTCAGTACAGTAACAAGGAAGGTATACATATTTAAGTTATAAAACAATACCAAAGTCATTTCGCAAATGGCATACCGAAATGAATACTAATGAACAATAGTAAATCTTCCAAATAGACATTAAATATAATGGCGTTTTAGGCCCTTAGCCCGAGCTAAGGGTTGGCGAACATTTTAATAGTTAGCCCACGCTAAGGATCTGGACCAGGTCTTAGAAGCAGACAAGATTTAACACATACTTAGCGTTTCTTAGCACTAAAATTTTGTGTTGAAATTAGAAAAAACTTTTAGATATGTCACAAACATGTTTTGGCAAGGATTATAAGTATTGGTTTGTTCAAACCAATTGTGTACAATATACTTTTCAAACTGTGTAGGGACTATGTACCTTCAACTGTGCGGGGATGCCGACAGTGTACTTTTAAAATGTATATGAGGACATTGTACTTTTTCACACTATGTGGCATCAGTGTATACACAATCTGTTTAGAATAAATGTACCTTTCATCAGCATGTAATGCAGCTATACTTTTACAAATAATTGAAAAGATATTAAGAAAGATTCATTTTACTGTGAAGTATCAATAGTTACCAATGTGAAATTTTCACTTGTTGTTTTTGAGGTAAATGGGAAAAATAAAATGTTAAAAACTGTTATTTTGAGTGAAAATAAATTGACAGTATCAAAAGAAAGTGGTCAGAGCAATAAAACAATGCAGCTGCATTAGATGAATTGCCCATATATGTCATTTGATACCCAGATTTAAACATAAATGCATTTGACCTATAACCTTTTATCAAATTCCATTCTTAGTGTATATTTCCTCTATAGCTCAGGGCTTTCTACGACTTTTCTTATAGACCTGGACTTTGTAAAGCAGATAATGAACTTTTCTATTAGCCGCAGGGATTACCGGTAATCAATATTTCCTATATATTCAAAATAAAAATTATGTAAACTGACCTGATGTTTTAAAGAAATTCAATTCAGACCATGTATTGACAATAAAACCTAGACACTTATAGATGACAGTGTGATAGAGGATTTTTTGAATTTATAACCTTATAGTATATTATTCATCTTCCAGGGCATATCGCTATGGAGATGTCTCCCATGGGGAATGTTCCATTTTCAGAGGGGCGAAAATTTACATAACATTATTTTCACATATGGCTTATTGAAATCATTTGAGACTGATTAATTATTTTACCTTTAATTGACTGGCATAAAATGTGTATACTTAAATTTATTATCTTATTACTTATATTTTTATCAATACATTTGAGATGCAAAAATTTTGAGAACAATTTGTGCACAAAAAAATTGTGAAATCAAATAACAATTAAAAAAAAACACAAATATACCGGTACTACTGGTATAGTGGAAAGTAAAACAAAAAAATTTCTACCATCTCCGTCCCCAGAGTATATAATAGTTATGCTCTAAAATAAACACAAATATAATTAGCTGACACTGTCATTTTGTAATTCTTCAGATTTCTGCTGGTTTTTATTAATAAACTGTGTGTGAATAATCTATGAGCAAATATTAAGGTGGAATGATACTCAAAAGTCAAAATAATGTCATTTTCTTATTTTCACATGTTTCATGTTTCAAGGAGAAAATTAAATAAGAAAATGGTAGGTAAGGTACTGTACCCAGCTCTGAGGAAATTGCATGTTTTAATTGTCTGTTTTAATAGCCATATTCTTCAATATTTCTGGAAATGAACCCTAATTTTGGAGCCAACAGAGACAAAATTGAGTAATTTTTCAGTTTTTACTCTCAATCTTCTGAAGAAAAGTGCAGACTATAAACAGGACTACTTTGTGAATTTGTGATGAAAAGAGAGAACTGGTGGTGAAAAGGTTAGAGCATTTTAACATTGTCTCCTGTGGCAAGAATATATCTCAAAATTTTGTCCAGAAGTATTGACAAATAGACAATAATTTCAGTTGTTTTACAAAGACAAAAGTGTTTTCATTGTGGCTTATAAAATCCGCAGCTTATTTGCCTTTTTATGAATATTGTTTAACAGTTTTCGTAAACAGATTGCCAGTGAACAACAAGTAATGTTGATTGATTCTATTTTAAAAATAACAATAAATGTTGAAAAATTAACAAATAGAGAATATTAAATTTGGAAGAACAATGTGACTAGAAATGTGAGCTGAATATAAAGTAATACTGTTTTCAGTATGAATAAATACTAGTAGCACTTTATCGTGTGAATACATAATAATTCCTGCTGTGTTTGAAGAGATAATTAATTTGTAGTGAAATATGTTAGGTTTGATTTAAAACGATAAAACTCAATCAAAAATACATATGGGGACGCTAGCTGTCATGTTGGAAATTCATGATGACAAAATTCACATTTCCATTGTTATATGGACAGAATAATAGTTGGTATATATCTGGACATAAGTGTGTGTGTGACATGGTGAAAAAAGCTAAGATGAAGCATTCCCTCTGACTGTATATATGAATAACTCGTGTAAAGAAATGTCATTATCAGTTGCTTGTTACATATAGCAGAGAATATTCCTAGCGCAACACATATTCCATGTAAAAACTTCAGTGTGCAAAATAATATTTACAAAACATGCTGTTGTATTTATTTATTTGTCACACTTGCAAAGTCATTTGGAATTGATTAATGACATTAAAGAACTTGCATTTTTATTACTAAAAAATATCTTATTTTCACTTGGAATTATTTTCTGTTATTTTCGCTGAAGGAATGATTCAGTGAAAATAAAATCCAGCGATATTTTTGCTGAAGGAATAATTCAGTAAAAATAAACTCCAGCAAGTATAACCTTTTTCGCCAAAAATCAGTGAAAATAAATTCCATACAAAACACCCAAAATGTCTTTTCAGTAAAATTAATTCCAGCTAAAATAATGTATTTTACAGTTTTATAACTCAATATAATTAAAATAAATTCGACATATACAGACTCAATCTATTCCTTGATCATGCCATGAGACAGATTAAAACTATTTAAAGTCAAAACTAATCTCTAAACCATAAATAAATCATGTTACTTGTTTGGTGCGCATGGATAGGTAGTTCTGTAGCTGCCTATATTACTAGCATTAGTTGCTAACAGTCAGCAAGTATATATTGATATTCAAATAAAAATAGCAAAGTTATCATTTTCAAGAAAAATTGGCAGCCATCTTGCATTTACAGTCAAAAGCTGGCTCTTTTACTGGGGTATATTTACATACACCATCCAGATCTTCAGCATTTATATTTAAAAAAAACAAACTAAATTTCATATCTAGGAGCTCTGTGTCATCTTCCTTTATCAATGCATGTCGGCTTATAATATAGTACTTAATATGACTTGAGATCATATTAATTGGACTCAGTTTGTGGAAGTTTTCATGGTGCAACAATTCCATGTACTGCATGTGTTGCTTTCCTGTGATAAGATGCTAGACAACACTGCAAATTATATACACTATAATCAAAACTATCATGTAAGTGTTAGTTGATCAGAAATGCAATGAGAATTACAGAATAGAAATTGTGTTTAGCGCGGGGGGGGGGGTAGAATTATGTTATAATCCGATTAAAATCATTCGGTTCAATTTTTAATATCAAACATCTAACATCATCGGCAACCAATCAGAATTTATGTTAGGTTGCTTTCTAGTAAGGCCTTCTTTAATTGGTTCACAAATCCCATTAGTGGATGTGTGTGTGTGAACAGGACTTGTATGGGTAATGTTGAGGTGAAATGTGACTCTACAGTGGTTTTTAATCAGATTGCCGAGGTTGAGGACATATCACATAATTGCATCAAATTAACATGTCACAATCTTTTTATAAACCTAGAACATAATAATGAACACATCTGGCATTTTGTCAGAATTCTCATTAAGCTTAGAGAAATCCCCGATGATGAAGAAATAAACATTTATTCATCCCAGAATGTGCATGCTCATGGTTACCATGACAACAATTTCCTCTTTGACAAATGGATGAAAAAGAACACAAATTTCACAGTGAATTAATTTTCCCAACACAACAGAATTGGCTGAAATACACATTTAGGTACATATTATATATAAACAAATCGTGGAATAATGTATAAAACATTTCAGCGTTCAAGTAAACTATATCATTTGAGTTCTAGACATGGCAAATAATAAATATTCATGTTGCACACTTCAGTTTAAAATGTGTGCATAGTATTTTTAGATTTTTTGGTGAATTTTAGTGTAAT